AACTTCTTCAGCAGATGACAATCTAAAAGACTTCACTTGGAGTCCATTTCCCATAGTTTTATTCCCTCGTCAAGAAGCAACTAAAATGTATAAAACCTCAACAGGAGTCCAATTCCAGCAATTACTTCCAGTCATATCAAGATGTATGACTAATTTAATGAGAAATTAGTCTGGACAATATTAAGTGTTACATAAATATAACATTAGTGAATATGACACAAAGAAAATAAGTCAACAATCTTATTAGTACTTGTAAATATTCAATCTGTTTTAGACACCAAGATTTTAAGAAATGATACAAGTAAATTTGGGTAGATATCTTCATATTTATATCAAAGCACAGACTGGTACAATTGTTGAAGAGTTTCAAAATGAAATCAAAGGATCAATTCCTGACAATGGAATATCACTTTCATGCTATTTTAACAAACATTATTTCATCCAATCTAGACATGTAGCATAGTTGTTAGAATGTTAGCATTCTGACCATAATATCCAGGTTCAAAATCTTACCATGGTTCAATTTTCAAGGAAGTTGATTCTTTATAATATTGGCCTGGTGAGACAATGTCACCATGCCACAGCATTGGGAAGTGCCTAAAACCATACTACAAGTTGATCCACGTCTTGTGATTAAAAATGGCTAAACAGAACAATTCAAAAGCTGTCAATGACTGTCCCAGCACAAAACAAGTCATCATGACCAAGGATTTGAGCATACTGTCCTTGTTCAACATTGTTATCAAACCAGATTATAGGATCTCTCCCAGAAACTGTAAGTAAGGTCTGCTCAGCATCATTGCAGCATAAATTACTGATTGGCTCTGTGGGTATTGAACAAATACAAATATGCCAGAGTAGGCATTTGCAACAAGGATTAGCTAGCCACCAGAGAAACTGGCGTACTCAGATATATATGAACAGCCAGCCATATTAAACCTCAGCCATAATTGAAGTATGTCCCATCAATAGTTATCTCAGTCAGATGTTGACAAATGCAAGAAATGTAGTAATGAAAGACAAACATCCCTCAATGTAACCACTACCAACATCCAAATGAACCTGTTGATAAAGGCATGAAATCAATCCTCCCTGTACCTTGACCCATTAGAATGGTGAATTGTTTCAGGTAATATAAAAAACGTAGTCTTGGTTCTGGAGATTCTTTCCCCAAACAGCACCTCACCATTTTATTATAAGTAATAGTCTTACTGATGGATGTGGTGAAAAGCAAGAGACTAAAGTATTTTTAAAAAAAAAAAAAAATTTTTAAATTTATTCATATTTTATACTTGAAAAATAAACAAATTCTGTTTTTCTTTTTCTGCTAATTTCCAATGTTTGAAACTGAAATCATTTACAAGCAGAGAAAAAGAAAAAAAAAAACAAAAAAAATCCTTCATACAGATGACTTATACATCTGAGGAAGCCTTGAGAACATACCAGCCAAATGTTCAGATAAAAATAAGGATCATGAAGATCAAGAAGAGATAGATCCATACTTTTCCAAGGATATTTATGCAAAAACAATGAGCTAGGCTGGAATTTGAACTTGGTATGTCAATCCCACTTGCTGTACCAATAACCACTATGTTACACATACATCAATCTATGATGAATTGTTAGGCTTTCAAGCAAATGCACACCAACTCCGAGCTTTTTATATTAGAAGTAACACTATTTGAGGAAACACCAAAATTGCACATACTTCAGTTTCAGGTTTGTACTATTTTGTATCTTCATTGCTTAGACAACTAATAACCTCTTTCAGTCATCTCTCACTAACTTTTAACTAATTAAGAAGAGGAAATAAGAAAAACTGGTCTGAAGATAAGTGAGAGGAAGTATTAATTCAGTGCAATTCAAACTGATCTAAACCTTGATGTACTTTTTTCTATCAGCCTATGTATACAATGATTTGTAAACCTAAACCACAAAATGCTGTAAGAGGACTCTTCTAAGTTACCTCTCTATTTCTATGTCAATAATTCTCGTCAGATTTCTATATACTACTTGTTAAAAAAAATAGTCCAGATACTAAACTTCTCACTATGTAACCACTCAGCCACTGCAATATAAGAGAACTGACATTACATAGCAGTTCAGCACTCTTTTCTTTGTTTCTAACAAAATTTTCCTGTTTCTTAGTATTTTGCTTAGGTTCTGCAATGGATCTTTTGCTATTCCAATACCTTTGGATTTCAGTATTGTATTGCCATTTTTTGTTTAAACATTTCCCAGATGTTTAAGCTTCTGTACTTAGCCAAGCAAAATACATATTACTAATTATATATTAAAAAATAAAACAATTTAATAGAAAATTTACCTAAATTTGAATAATTCTAGATTAAATGAGTAATTAATGTTAAAATGCTAAAACATGCCAATTTGTAAATATCTGCTTTAGGCACACAATCAGCTGAACGTTTTATTGTATTCAATGCTGCTTTTGTTTTTTATGTTTTTTGCTAACAGTAAAAAACAATAAACATGGTAAGAGCAATATAAATACACAAATTATTCAAAATATTTTCTATTTTTTTTAATCCATTTTTGTAATGTTATTTCTTCTGTTTTCACTGAATAAGAATACTTTTTTTTTTCTCTCAGCAACAGATTAGACCAGAATTTTTCTATTGTCAACATATTTTTGAAAACTAAAGTTTTTGGGACACCTTAAGTTTGTTAACCAAAACAAATACACAATTCAAAATATATCTAAAATAAAAGAAAAAAAATGAAAAATTTAAGTAACAATTAAAGATAGAATGAGTAATTAACTGTTAAGACACCAATTTGGAAAGGTTTGCTATAAGCAAACAACCACAAGCTTAAATCTTTGCCACTTTTTTTTTTTTTTTTTTTTTTCGATAACAGCAAAATGACCAACAGATTTTGACCAATTACTTGAGTGACTCAAAATATTTTGTATTTTCATTAATTTTTAACGTGACATTTTCTTTTCCTTCTTTTTCAATGAACAAAAGAATATTAAGTTTTGTCTTTTGACTATGATTCAAACCTGAGATTTCTAAATTTTTGTATGGGTAATACACTTTTTAAAAATAAAGTTTTTGCCAACACCTAACTTTTGTTAACCAAGCCAATTATAGAATTCAAACTTTACATAAAAAGAAATAGCTCAATGAAAAATTTAAACAAAAAACAGGTAATTAATTAAATTACAGTTTCAAGACACACTTGTTCAGAAATGTCTACTCAGGATACACAACCATGAGATGAACATTTCATTGTATTTGTTACTATTATTGTTGTTTTTTATTGTTTGTTTTTGGTAACAGAAAAATGGTTCACAGACTGTGACCAACATAAAAAGTGATTTAAAATGTTATATACTAGTTAATTTGACTCTGTGATGATGTTTTTTGGTTTTTTTTTGTAATGTAGACGAGAACATAAATCTTGTTGTCTAACCTTTTTCTTTTCATTTTTTTTATCAATTCCCCACAAGCAAGGCAATAATGTCACTAAGATGCAAGGGGCTATTGGGAGTGAAAGCTAATAACAGACTTTAAACAGAACCAGAAAGCAAATCCTGAACAGTGAAACAAAGGATAAACTTCTACTCTTGTTTAAAAGACTGAGGAGTGGTGTGAATCAGATGTTAGTAGTTTTCTAACTACTCTTATTGAGGAAAAATAATAAATAGTAGATAAAATTTCAGAGGTTAAGCAGAGACGTTTTGTTATCTAATCAATTTTTTTAAAAATCAATCGCCCCACTCCCCCACCAAGCAAGGTGTTAATGCCACTAAGATGCAAGCAGCTACTGGGAGTGAAAGAGAATAAGAAGACTTTAGAAAGAACTGGAAACTCAATCCTACTCAGAAAACAAGGGATAAACCTCTACTTGTATTCAAAAGAGTGGGGAGGGGTGTGAACAATAGGTGAACTTATTTATACCTATTTAGGAAAATAATAAATAGTAAATTAAAATTTCAGAGTTTAGGTGGAGGTGTTAGAAGTATAGAGTTAAAGTAAACTTTATCAGGAAACAGAAACCCAATCCTAAACAGGAAAGAAGAAATAAACGTCTACTCTTGTTTAAAAAATAGATTAAACAGATCTTTCCAATACTTTTGCATGGGTTATATAATTTTGAAAATCAAGTTTTATTTACAAAGTTAAATATATTAATTCAAAATTAATATAAAAGAAATAATACAATAAAAAATTCAGTTAATAATTAAAGAATGAATGGGTAATTAATTGTCATGACATATCTGTTTAGAAATTGCAGCTTGAGGCACACAACAATGAATTGAATGTGTTATTGCATTTGTTATAATTATTTCCAGCCTTTTTTTTTTGTTTTGTTTTTGGATAACAGCAAAAGTGACCAACAGACTGTTACTAATATAATTACCAAAGTGGTTGATACTGTTTCAGATGTCATCTGAAAACCATTTTCATTCAAGCAGAACGAATTTCTTTGCTAAATACAAAAGAGAATTCTGTTTTGTATTAATAAATAAGAACAAAAAAAATATTCACACTTCCTGGACAAGGATGATAGATTTATGAATGCACTTTTAGCAAAACTGAGTGCAATTCGAATTTTTTTCAGGCTACATGCCAAGATTCACATAAGTGGAACTATTAACCAACATGCTATTATCTCTACTCCACTCTCCAGCGACATCATCCAAGGTTTAATTTCCTTTAGCAAGCAAAGATGGTGCTCTTTATCTGCTGCCAGGAACTGGATGAGTATAGATAAGTAAAACTAATTTGTCTGATAAATATCACTGTTGATCAGACTACAACTTGCAAGAAAAAAGTCAAGACAGGTTAATACCAAATGCAGCCAAGACAATCAAAGTGATCATAGTCAAAATGAAAATAATTAAGTGATTTAAATGAAAGGGAAAAAAATAATTAAAAGTAATTTTAGATATTAATCATGTAAGGGGGAATGAGGAATGATTTTGTGACATTAAGCAAGTCTTCTTTTCTAAGTTACATCAGATTCTTTTCAAGTTACTGAGCTCTATCTTGTCCTGTCTTCTGTATCAATACGATAGATAGATAGATATGCAGATAAATAGGTAGGTATGCAGATAAATAGGTAGGTATGCAGATAAATAGGTAGATATGCAGATTGATGGATAGGTAGGTAGATAGATAGGTAGGTAGGTAGGTAGGTACGCTGAGAGATAGGTAGGATATGATGAGAGATGGAGAGATAGGTATGGTAGATAGATAGATAGATATCGGCTGAGAGAGATGGGTAGGTAGGTAGGTAGGTACGCTGAGAGATAGGTAGGTAGATAGATATGCTGAGAGATAGGTAGGTAGATAGATAGATACGCTGAGAGATAGGTAGGTAGATAGATAGATACGCTGAGAGATAGGTAGGTAGATAGATAGATACGCTGAGAGATAGGTAGGTAGATAGATACGCTGAGAGATAGGTAGGTTGATAGATAGATACAATGAGAGATAGGTAGGTAGATAGATAGATACGCTGAGAGATAGGTAGGTAGGTAGATAGATGTGGCTTGAGAGATAGGTAGGTAGGTAGATAGATAGATACGCTGAGAGATAGGTAGGTAGGTAGATAGATACGCTGAGAGATAGGTAGGTAGGTAGATAGATACGCTGAGAGATAGATAGATAGATAGATAGATACGCTGAGAGATAGATAGATAGATAGATAGATAGATAGATAGATAGATTTTTTTTTTTAAGAGTTTGCCCCAAGCAAGGCAGTAAAGCCACAGAGACGCAAGGGCTACTGGGTGTGGAAGTGTTAGAAATGGGAACATTGCTAATGAGTGAGAAGAGAGGAAGAGTAATCAGGAGGATTGACATTGCATTTAAATTTTTGCAGATTAAAGTTAATTGGAAAGTATGGAGATGGAAGAGAGTTCCACAAGTGAGAAGTACGAGAAAAGAAACTGTTAGCATAGAATTTACAGTTACATCTAACCAACTCAACTGTAAATTGGTGAGACCTCACGACAGTCTAACACCACACTTAAATTTGAAGACTCTAAGATCATCTGAATAATTACCATGAAAGTATTTATAGAAGAGATAAAAGGAGGTAACCTTATGATGATGGGAAAGTAACCGAAGCTGATACACGAGATCGGGGCCAATAATATTGCTGATTCTTCAGACTAAATCTAGGTACTCTATATAGATAGCAGGAGCACCAGACCATATGTGGCAGCAATATTCTAAGCATGGACATACACACATCTGTTACATTTGCTGATTGGAAGTATACTCTTGTGGAGTACTCGCATTTATGAACAGACTGATAGAGACATCAATGAATGTTGACATGCACATGTCACTAACAAAAGGTAAAAAAAAATGTAAATAAAAAATACCAAAAAAAAAAAAAAATAAAAAAATAAAACAGACATTAAAGAAAAGAAAAAAAAACAACAACCACCACCACCTTTAAAAGTAGACATGAACCACAAAAGCTTGTGGCAACATTAGAAAATGTTAGAAAACCAGAGTATGGGTTTTTCACCAAAAAACTGTATTTTTATCACACACGCACATATATATATATATATATATATATATATATATGCGAAAAATGGATATTCAAATATTCATCCTCCAACATAGGATACAGGTTTGATTCCTGTTGGAGGACGCATATTTTGCATGACAATTTCTTGGACATTCAGGCCGGTAAATGTTGTTTAATATTGTTTATTATAAACAGAGATATACTTAAATATTTGTATCTATAAAAAGAATGTATAAACATAAAAACATCTTAAAATAATTGTTGGACTTTGTCCATTTCATAATATATATGTGTGTGTGTGTGTGTGTGTGATAAAAATACAGTTTTTAGGTGAGAAACTTGAGTTATGATGACTTGTGGCATTTGCTAACACAACCATCAATACCTATCAAATAGTTTCATCTACCCAATTTCACTAACAAGTCATGGGTCAACCCATACTCTGGTTTTCTAACATTTTCTAAAGTTGCCACATGCTTGCCCCATCCCAATTAAAAATACTATTAATATTGACTATTAATATTGTGAAAATTGTTTAATTTTTCTATTTTTCATACTGTATGAATAATCTCGTCTTTTCCTATTTTGCATAATTCACCTGTCAAATTTGTTGTACCTATTGTTCTGAAAATTGAGTTTTATATTCCTTTTAACATGTAAAAACCTGGCATCATATAGGCATTAGATTTGGAGAAATGGATAAAAATATTCAAAATTGATGGGTGTACAAATAATTTTGATGTTAAATGTGTATATACATACATACATACATAAATATACATATTATCCCTCACCAATAGTATGACTCAGAGTTTCATGCATAATGACATCTTCAGGTGCTGAATAAAGACTGACCATGACATAATTTAAATTTTTATCACAATGTTGGTGTTCCTTTTTATATATATATATATATATATATATATATATATATATATATATATATATATATAAAAAAAAAAAAATAACTGTAATTTACCTTAAGAATAAACTAATTTATATTCAAAATTAATCTGGGTCAACATATTTAAGCAGATATTTATTTTTATGCCTACATGTAACCATTAATTTATTTCTCTTGTTTAATAAGCTAGGATTATTTAAGTGTTTTAAGATAAATTTTTTAACAAGACATAAGTTACATTTATTTCCTTTCCGTTATAAAATTTGGCATTTGCTATATTATCCCAGTTGATGGAAGGAGAGTTGCCATCATTCTTTAATTGCTAGAAATATTTGTAAATTGCAGTAGTTTTTGTATTTTATATTACCTAGAGTCATCTGATGATGGAAAATTCAATTATAATAAACAGTTAAAAAGGTAGAATATTTTTACTTATATGTAAACTATGCCTTTGTTATAGTAATATTAGTACACATTATTATCAACTGTAAAACAAGATGAATATCCACAGATATATTTATTTTTTTAAATTAAATTTAGAATATTTTGGCAAAATGAGAAAAAAACAACAGATGAGGATATTAGTCTAATTTTATGGAATGACCATTGGTTAATGAAAAATTTCAGAAAAGTAAAACAATATCAATTATGATTCTTCAGTGTAAGACCTATAAGTCCAAAAAACACTTAAATTATTTTTATTATTATTAATTTCATTCCAACTAAAATAGTTTTCTACTTGTAAAATCTTTTAGCATTTTCATGACAGAAAAAAATACAACCAAAAAACTACTTGCCTGAAACCGAATTCTTTATAAAAACCAGAAATGCAAAGTCTGAATAAAAACATTTGAATTGCGAATTCTTTTTCTTTTATAAATTTGCATGAGGCTACATTTGGTTTGCATGTCCCTCACCTTACATCTGTAGAACAAAACAGCCCAGCCCACATCACCAACACATATAAAGTGTTTACAATAACAGTATATATATATATATATATATATATATATATACAGATTTTTATTGCTTAAACATTATTTTTAGTGGATACTCATAAATCCTCTGTTTATTAAACAGTATATTTATTTTCATCTACCAGCCTGAATATTCAAGAATTCTTATTAGAGAAAAATATGCCAGGAAGCATCATAAGTAAGATGAACCTCTATTCAAATACAAGTATCCACTAAAAATAATAATAATAATATATATTTATAAACAAAAAAATATTATAATATAAGCTCTACTTCTGTATGGAGCACTGTCTTCTTAAAAATAAAAACAAAAATACTAAGGAACTCCGGATTACTCCGGAACCCAACGTGTTCTTTTCTATTTTCTGCATACTTTATATATATATATATATATATATATATATATACTAGCTGGCCACTTGTATTCAAGAATACCCACCTATTAGGGCGGCTAGCCAATCTCTATTGCAGACACTCATTCAGGCACATTTGTGTTTGTTTAACACCCACAGAGCCCACCTGTGGTTTATACTGGAAATATGCTGAACAAACTTTAGTTACAGTTTCTGGGAGAGAGTTTGTTATCTAGCATGATCAACAATCTGAACAAGGCCAGCACGCTCAAGACCTCGGTCACCATGACTTGTGACTTCATGCTAGCACAGCTATCGACGCGCCCCACCCCCAAGTGTTCTATCTACTCAATTTCACTCATAAGTCATGGGTCAACCCACGGTATGGTTTTTCAAGCACTTTCCAGAAGGTGCCACATGCTGGGATTGACCTCTCCAGTCCAATAACATCAAGAAGTCTCCTTTCTGACAAATCGACCATGGTGAGATTTGAACCATGGGCTCATGGTCAGAAAGCAAACTTTCTAACCACTCAGCCACGTGCCCATATTATACATATATATATATACCTTCCCCATCTTTTCGACAGGAGTAGAGGTTTATCCTTTATTTCCTATTTAGGATGTAGTTTCCAGTTTCGTCTAAAAACTTCTCATTTCATTTTCACTCATAGTAACCCCTTGCGTTTTAGTGACATTATCACTTTGCTTGATGTGAAATGGTTTTTAAAATATATACCGTATACACTCGTATATCATACGACCCACAAATTTTCACCTATGAAAACTGATTTTATCATGTATCTTGTGCATGATGCAAGTTCCTTTTTTGAGAGACCAAATTACAATAGACTAACCTCTTTACCTCATCTTCTAGTTAAATAAGTTAAAGTAAAAGAGAATGATAAAAGTATTGTTAGTAATGCTATACTAGTTGCATAAATGCGTACAGCCATAGACAACTGAATGAGAAACAGCTAGACATCTTATAAATATAAACAATGGAAAAGATGCATATTTGCTATATTTGTTTTTCATAATACGATACTAATATTTGAATATTACATACATTATTATTGGATACAGTTAAGAAAAATATAAGGTTTATCAGTCATGTTTATTTTAAATACAGCTGTACTTTTTGACTACAGTAAATGGATATATAGTTTGGTCAACAGTATAGCCAGGGCCAGCAGTACATATGCTAATTTTAAATCTCATATATGATGCAACCCTATTAAAATTAACTTCAAAATTAGGTCTTCAAAAGTCACATGATACACAAGTGTGTGTGTATGTATATATATATATATATATATATATATATATATATATATATATATATATATATATATATATAACTAGCATATGATTGACTGATTGTCCAGTTTTAATGGCATATCAACTGTCAGTTATTTAATGCCAAAAGTTTTTTTTTTATTAATTATATGGCTTGTAAACAACCCATTGGGGGTCATTGGTTCCATCACTACCCAGTTAAACCTTTAAAATGGAGTTATTTAGTGCTATAATTTGTGGTATAGACCAACCTCCTACAAGTAGGATAAGATAGAGAACTTCAAGAAAATATAAGTAGAGACTAAGCTAGTTATGTCATAAAATAATTAACATATAGAGGCAAGGTCACTCCGATCAGAATATGTTTTATGGTATATGCTTCCTAAAATGCCTGGCTTTTATTTTTTTTTTTTTTTTTTTTTTTTTTGAAGAAACAAGTGAATAAATAGGTATGTCATATTCTGATCCTTGATAGGACAATTTCTTCCTTCTGAGAAATTCTGAGACCATGATGCCATTCTTCCTGAATGGGTTTAATTTTGTAAAGTTAGGATGGTAGGTAGTTCCACAACTCATACCATTACTTTAGAATATATTAGTTACTTAGAACTCTATATAGGGAATTTTCACATTTGAAATAATCATTTTTAAGGATTCCTTTACTAGAAAACGGTAACATTTAATTTGCACAACAATTTTTAAAAGAATATATTGATAAATATTTCATCTATTTTATTTATTTCTAATTCAAATTTTTAAAATTACCATAAATAACCAAGGTTTCTGTTAATAAAGTTTTTCTAATCCATTGTATAAGTCTAGAAAGTATATGTATCTGTCTTGTCAAAAATCGATCACAAGTTGGAAAACCTATAGCATTCTTAGTAAGCATTGTTGTCACTGCTAATTAATATTAGTACAAATTAGTCAAATGGTCAAAAAAAAACTTATAATAATAACTAATTAAGGAATAATTATGGAGTAAGAAAATTATGCAAATGTTTCTCATATAGTCAATTTTGTCCAGAATAAGAACGTCAAGGATAATGACAAAAAGAAATTTATAAAACAGTTGTCTTGCTGAAAATGTTGGTCATACAAAAATTTTAGAGAGGTAAGCAGTCTTCCTATACAGCAGTCAATGTTAAAGAATCTCTTTAAAGATGAAGAGACTTGAAGCAACAGAAATGTGTTTGTACAGAAGGATGCTGAGGATACCATGGATTGAACAATAGCAAAGTTTTAGAAAAAAATGGAAACCAAAAG